CAACTATGTTTTTACGAATCTGATTTCAATGAAGTTATCCAGTACCATACCATCCAGCATGTACTAATTTCTAGTATAGGATGGATGGCTTCCTTTTTATTCATTTCTTTATTTAACGTTGGTCTCTGTTCCGCAATCTAGTGCCAATCACCGACGGACATCGATTGCCATCCATTGACGGCAATCGAATGTGCAGGAAGGCAGCTTCCACACCTGCTTAGGATATCGCACCCATTCAGCACACATGGGCCGGGACCAACGGCTTTACTTCCCATTCCGAAGGAAAACGTGAACAGAGATTTTTATGCCTCAGAAAAATCCCACTGACCTCGGCTGGGATTGAACCCAGACCCATTGGGATGAGAAAGCAGTCTCGCTTACCACTAAACCACCGGCGCCGGCACACCATACCATTCAGCATGCTTCATAAATCAACTATTGCATACTTCACGGCGCAAATCGAGCAATTGTACTAAATAAACATTCAAATCAAAATTTTCAACCATTAATGATATTACATATAATTTAACTCATGTATCGTGGGAAAACGAAGTGAAGTACCATTCCAGTTCTTCACCAAGAATATTCTAGAATATCAAAACAAGACACTTAAACATTAAAATATCATGGCTAATTGTTTTAAAATTATCTCATTGATTTTTTTACTTCAGAGAGGAGTTCTTCAACGAAATTTTAATATTCAATTACAAATACTTGCTGAATGTCTTCTAAGGATACTACTGAACACTATAGATGTATACATTTAATTAAATTTGGCTCACTATTACCCTCCAGCAAGTATTTGTAAAAGAATATTAAAATTTATTTGAAGAACTCCTCTCTGAAGTAAAAAAAAAATCAATAAGATAATTTTAAAACAATTAGCCATGATGTTTTAGCAAGGTGCCTTCTATTCATTCTGGTTAAAAACATGTTTAATGAAATTATGGAATAATAAGATATTATGATAATATTTTGTTTGTGTAAAGGGTGTCCCACATCAAATTGCATTACGGAAAAAACGCTGTAGAAAATTACCTAGTTAACCGATCCTTTTCAAACTTTAAGACAATAAATTATAACCCATTCAATACCATAACCGTACGCTCGCACCTTACGCTTAACTCCACTCATTAGGTCCAATACAATATCTGGCTGCAGCTTCTTCTGTACGGAAAGCCACTCAGATTTGACCTCCTTGGGATGCTTCCGTAGTGCCTGCTTCATAGTAGCCCAGTATTTTTCGGGCCTTAGTTCCGGTGCATTGGGGGGGTTCATGTCCTTGGGTACGAAAGTGACCCCGTTGGCTTCGTACTACTCCAGGACAACATTTGAATAGTGGTACGAAGCTAGATTCGCCCAGAAGATCGTAGGGCTCTCGTGTTGCTTCAACAGAGGAAGCAAACGCTTCTGTAGACACTCCTTGAGGTAGATCTCCCCGTTTACAGTCCCGGTAGTCACGCACCGCCACTTCGTTTGCCACATTCGCTTGCTGAATCATGTATTTCTTGGCAAAATTTTAAAGTTTCTGCTTCCTTACTTCCTCCGGAACATCAAACTTGTGTAGCTCCGGAAGCTGCCGGAAGTCCACCTTGACATAAGTCTCATCATCCATGATGAGACAATGAGGCTTCGTCGGCATCTAGGTGTTCAGTTACCGGGCCCGTGACTTTCCCGCCGTATGGAGCCTTCTGCAGTTCCTCCCGGTCCTTGGCTCTCTGAACGAAAGACTTGGACAGATTCAACTTTTTGGCCACATCCCTGACCGTAGCATTGGGATTCCGCTTAAACGCTTTCACGACATGCTTGTGATCCTGAGCACTAATAGAACATCCATACTGACCGCATTTCTCCTTCCGTTCGATGCTCAGAGTTTCGTAGTAACGTTTAATCCAACGGGTGGTCACTCTACACACTTGTTTTGCGCCAAATTTTTTCTTAGTGTACCTCAGTGTGCCGCAGCTTTACCGGCAGTGCCAAGAAGTCATTGAACTGACTTTTGATTGCTTGTGAATAATGCCTTGTTTGGCAACCCGGTATTTTAACAGGTCTTGTTTTTGTCTTGTTTTTCAATGTTTTCAAAAACGACACGGACTCCAGTTGGGACTACACACTGGATGCAGCCGTCTCCAAGGATGCCTGTAACGGACGAGCTCCGTTGCTACACGATCCTTCCATCTTCGGCGGAAGGCCGACCCCGCACAACGAACGTCAATCATTAGTCAACCAACTCTTCTGGGAGCCGGCGGAGGAAACAGATTTGCACCGAATTTTTCACCGCCCGAGCATCATCCGTCGGAAAACTGGAAACCAACACCGGCCGGAAGACACGTCGGACTGATGAAGGACGCACCGCTGATCCGAACCGGACGAGCCAATTTTCCAAGCAAAACTACTTGTCAGAGTCCACCAACCCGTACACCCTGCCGGACAATTCGATCAGCTTCAAGGTCTACAGCGCTTCCAAAACATTCGCTTTCCAGGCCAGCAAAAATCGCATTCTCCACTTCTTCAATACCCCACCCGTATGCCGTCCAAGGATCTGCTGCTGACTGCATTCAGTGCGAATGTTCCGGCTGAAATCGGAAAGTTCCTCCTCCGGATTGGTTGAGTTCCCGAGCGTAGCCCTGGCAGTGAACGCCATCATGGAGTGCAACCACAGCGCGATCGATCACAATGCACAAAACTCTCGTTCATTATGAAGCTGTTAGTTGGAAGTGCAAAAAGGCAGGAATAAAAATAATTTGTTGAACTATTTGAGTTTTAGTCAAGACGGTCCTCCACCATTATATGTTTGACGATGGAATGATTGGTGTAGCAGCCACCGCCATGAATGTATTCGAGCAGTTCGAATGGTCGGATGGTATAGTTTTTGTTTGGTTGTTGACTTTCCGATTAAAACTCAAGCACCGCTTGTCGTGACTAGCCCAAGATTTCCAGCGTCGGCCATGGCTACACGAGTTAGGGATGCAACTCCCACGGCTGCGGCTGCTTCCAATGCTGCTGCTGTTCCTTCTGCTGGTCCGTATCCTCTAAAATTCGTAAAAAAAAGACGGACCAGCAGCAGCATTGGAAGCAGCCGCAGCCGTGGGAGCTGCATCGCTAGTTCGTGCAGCCAATGCCCGGAAACCTCGGTCAGATCAAGATACCGCTGTTAGCTGTTCTTCGTCTGGGAGGAAATGTGGACGCAACTGCCGTCACGGGTGTAACGATTTTGAGAATCCATGGCGAGACTTGGTGGAGATTCACGGTTGTTTTGAAAATAATTTGACTAGGAGTGGCAACATCAATAACATTTTGACACATGCACACTGCGCAGGCGCAGAAAAATTTCAGTGTTGCCAGTAACTTTAAAGATCATGAAAATTGTAACCATGGGTGCCAAACAACGCCAATGACTGCACCGGGTGTGCCCAAGTTTGATTTTGGCACACTGTGTAGAGTGACCAACCCCTTGGTTTAATCACACGAATCACCGTTGACTGCAGGATTCCGAGTTGTTTTCCGATGTCCCGATGAGAGAGTTGAGGAATTTCCAGGTGCTTACGCAAAATCAATTCGAGACGTTGCTTTTCGGGTGACGACATTTTTTCCAACTTTCGAAAAACTGACAGCGATAAAAATGCAGTGTAAACAATACACTCTAAACTACTTCTACCCAAATTTTCAAAAGAAAATACCCAATGGGTAATTTTCTGCAGCATTTTTCCCGTGATGCAATTTGATGTGGGACACCCTTTAAGCAACAATAAAATATTGTGAAGTTTGTGCACATAATACCTGCCAATATTGCTACATGAGAGTCGCAATAAGTGATTTTATCATTTATTTCACCCACGCTTTGCTCTTCACTCTTCTCAAAGAGGCGATCAGAGAATCGCTTATTATGACTCTGTCAAAGCAAAAATCGAGGGGCACGCACTAGTCTTTCAATACTACGCAGCCTACTGACCAAATATTTAAAATCTTGTCATTACTGCTTTCATTACTTTAAATACACTCTAAATTTCATGAAATACTTTAAATACTGACAATATTTGATACCTTCATTATTTTCAAAACATTTAAATTATTTGCCAATATATTAATTATTGTTAATTATATGTTGATTACTTTCAATACCGCTAAAAGTATTTAAAATAAAATGATTACTGTCCTCAAAGTATTTAAATTACTATGATGTTTTTTAAATATCACGTAGTATTATTATATATTAACCTGGTAGTGCGCGCCCCTCGGCAAAAATTTTAGTTGTCATGTGTCAAACACAAACCTTACAATATTTTCTTGTTACTTACACATACATCATATCCACATTATATCTTATGATGCCATAATTCCATACAACATTGTTTTCGTCAAAATGAATGGAAGGCACACTGTGTTTAAGTACGCAAAAATCTTTTTAAGATTCTACTGAATACTCTGGATGAATATCTTTATTTATATTTGGCTCAGTGTTCCCATCCAGCAAGTACTTGTAAAAGAATATTAAAATTTATTTGAATAACTCCTCTCTGAAGTAAAAAAATCAATCAGGCAATTTTAAAACAATTAGCCATGATGTATAAATATGAAAATGTCTTCCAAAGATAATTCACCAACAAAAGTGCATCATGAATTCCAGCCCACCTGTGTTTATCCACCTTGTGGACGGTCCTCTGTTAATTTTTCGTTGAATACTGTTGTCTGATTTTTCAAAATTTCACTTTTCTTATTGACTGATTTTCAAATTCCAACTAGATTTTTGAGAGGATTATTTTCCCTTAGATTTTTTTGTTGATAAAATCATTATGTTGGGTTGGAAATCAGAAAAAGAAATTATTTTAACGAAGCTTGGTAGTTTGTTTTCCCAATGCTGTCGCTATTATTCTTCGCTTATAAAGTTTTTTTTTCATTTGCGCCATTAGAGATTATTTTCAAATAACGATAAAATGCGTGGACCAGATCCACCAGCACCTTGAATGTCAATGTAAATGTCTATCAATTTCAATACTCACCGATGAGCTTCCTCATCGCAACCTCTTAACACTAAGAAGCTCGGCGTTTCCGGTATATAGATCACAGATATGAAGAGCATAATCGGCGCCGCCGAGACCAGCATCGCCAGCTGCCGCCAGTCCAGGTAGGCTCCGAGCGCGTAGGATATCAGCACTCCCAGATGGCCGGCAATCTTCTGGATCGCACTCAGGAAGCCCCGGATGTCCGGCGAGGAAATCTCACTGATGTACACCTGGGTCACGGTGGACACGATGGCACAGCAGAATCCCCCGACGAAGGCGGTAAAGAACATCGTCTCGACCGATTTGGCGAACACCGTCAGGATCCAGGAAAGCGAATATGGCAACGACATCAATGCTAGCACCCGCTTCCGGCCGTACTGCATGGCGACGCCACCGAACATGCCGCCGAAGAGAGCACCTGTAAAGCGGAAGGTTTGGTTATATCAGAAACAATTTTAATTTCCGTTTCTTGCCAGATCGGGGCACAGCTGATACGTACCCAAAAGTGAAAGACTGGCAATCCAGCTTGCCTGCTGGTCGTTGACGGGGAAGGCTGTATAGTTGCCTCGTTGCCGTAGATGTAGGTCCTGGAGACTAGCAATGGCAGGACTAGAGTAGCCCTTCCCCAGGCCGGCCGCCAGCGGTCCGATTGATACTGCGAGGGCTGCGATTATCTGCAAATATGGAGAAATGTATCATTTAGGATAAAATTTCAGCGCAGTCGGGAAACATGAAATATTACGATGAAACAATTCTTTTGTTTCCCATCAACCCAATGGAGACATTATCCGCTTGTAAATGCTCACACATCATATCCCAGTCCCAGTCGGTGGGGAATGTAAATTATGAGATCGTTTGAAAAGTGGTTCTGGCATGTGCATATGTAAGGTAGATGAAGGTAACTACAACAGAGAATAATAATGGGAAATGAGGCGCCATCGGGATTATGGGACCGCCATTATTGTCATCAGTCACTTGGCAACATGTATGCATTAGGGATGTGGGGGAGGGAGAATGGGAGCTATAATGATGATATCAATTTTATTGTTTGTCGCCCATCATTCTACCTCTATGCTGTTATTATCATCCTGTTTCCCCCTGCCTTTTGCAGCGAAACAAAGTGACTTTCATCATCCGGATGGATATGTCATTCTGTTTTATGGGATCTGTTGTTACACCTAATTTGAAGTCAATAATTCACTGAGATTCTTCTGGTGCAAGTAATGACATCGTCTGCGCTTTTCTTTTTTCAATTGTATTCAGATGGCTTGTGATATATTTGGTAAACTGAATCGGTAATGGCTAGCCCGGCGTCGAGCCAAGTTGAAAAAGAAATTAGTTTTCATACAGAAAATAATCCCGAGTTCCCCCGGAAACCATAACACTGATGTAATTATTGTTCTGTCGATCCATTTCCCTTTCGAAACCTCATAAATTAATTTTTCCTGCCGAACAAACCGAGCGAGAGGGCGGTGATTTTTCCGTTCCATTGCAAAATGATTTAATTTTGTGTTCTGTTATCGTTCACAACCAAACATCAGACAAGCCATCGAACTCACGTGTTCCACTACGGGTTTTTACAAAACAAACTGTATATTTTCATAATTGATCATAAATTATTTTTAAATCCAGTTCGGATCAATAGAAGCTTTTTTCAATATCTCTTCTCCGCGGAAGGGTTTCGGTTTATTTGCATTTTGGACGGTCAGTTACTATTGAACAATCAATGAGCTGGATTACCGAGGTGAAGCAATCACTCACACAACCACTGTACGATACACGAAAGTACACGCAAGTAGTGACGTCACTACTTGCGTTTACGTTGATTTTTTGGTTTACTAATACAACCCTATTTCACGATCTGCGCCACCTCTCTCTGTACCTCATTGTTGAACAATACCTTTGCCAGAGGATTTACCATCAACCAGTCATTTAACACACTCAGGAGACAGAAGCTTAGCGCATGTTGTGTGCGTGACACGATTTACATGCTTCATATATGGGTAATTTTGCCCATACCTGCCGAAAGGCCGAAAAGGGTGTTCCGATTTATTATGGCCTTAACTGTTAAGACAACTTAAGCATGCAATAAATAACTTTATCGTGAGTGACATTGGTAGGAGGACACACATGGTCTGCCTTTCGGTTGGCAGGTTACTCAAAGTAGGTCGAAGGTTTTTGGTTGAATAATAATGTTAAATTTCTACAAAAACAAGACTCAATTTGCTGATTCAGCACCATACAGGTACGCAAAACGCGCGGGCGTACCTCGGTTTCAAATTCGGACGTCTCACTTCCAGCGAAAAATTAAGCAAATTAATTGCCTGTCGAATTAACACCGCACGAAAGCGATGAAATATGCATAACCATGCTTGTTGATCCTGTTGATTTCAGTTTTCGACTAATTTCGTAAACGGTGGCTTCCATAACCTCCCACCCCCACCAAACCGGGTCCATTGTTCCAGCAACGGCAAATGAATATTTCATTATTCGTATGCGGCACGCGATTTGGTAAACCCCAGCTGCCTATGCCCGTAAGGGTTCCGTTGGCCCGGTAAAGGAAGCAACTAACGTGTACTAATACCTACCGGTGATTGAATCAATTTTTCTCACACACGACTGGCCGGAGGCTTGTTGAACGAACGATACACCAGTCTCTACGGCACGCAAGCAAGGTGTTACTTTGTTAATTTTTAATCAGGTTCTGTTATAATTTATGATGTTGTAAGGCAGCCTCAGCACAATGTTTTGGCTAATTGGAACAAATGACTTTGATTAATCCAAATACTGCCTAGGGTCGGACAAGTGAGTCTATAGAGATATCTACTCGAATTTATGACTCATGACTAAGGTGGCTATGGACAATTGAAATCATATTGAATGTTGAATTCTAAACCGTTTCACCCACGGCCATTTGCGCGAAGAAATACATTTTTTGTAGGAGAGTGGTAGATTTAGATCTCCTTCCATTTGACTACGTCTTACGGGAAGGTACAGGGGGTAATTGGAAAATGCAAAATTGCACCCGTCACGAAAAGGTGTTAGGTTTTGAACGCTTATAACTTTATCATTTATAGTTGAAATTAAAATCCAAATACACCAATCGATAGGAAATGACTCTGCAAATCTGCCTAAGCATGCAATTTTCCATTTAAACTTTTGGAAAATTTGCAAATAAAAACTGGATAATTGGATCACTATTTTCATGAAATAAACGTTCTCCCCAAACCCAGTCGTCATAATCGAGTAACAGTTGGTTGAACATCGTTCTGTTTGAACCTGAAAAGTTATAAAACAGTGTGGCTGTTGTTCCTTCGCTTATTTTCGCATAAGACGACATGGTGAGCAGGTACCAGCAGCAGCAGTAGGAAGTCAGCGGAAAAGATGGAATTTTTCTCTTTCTCTCTCTTTACCATCGAGTAGAAAAACTTCGTCGCAGTGGAGTGGATCACCTTGACCACCAGCGCCCAGTGGGGAAAAAATCGACCCAAAATCCCAAAAAATTAGACGACGCACTACCGTCCTGCAAAATAGCCTATCTTATGTGAAAAAAATCGGAGAATCGATTGCTGATGGTCCCGTTTAGCGTTGACTTCGGAAAGTAGTCCGTTTTGCCCGATTTACCCATAATTTTGGAAGAAAAATATAATTATCATCCAGAAACTGAACATGGTGCGCTTAGATTGAGTCAACGTGAACTTTATCCTTGTAAAAAGAGCTGGGGAGTTGAATGGAGCTTGTGTGTCAATAAGTGGTCCATTTTACCAGATTTCCCCTTGGCCTATAAAAACAAGATTTAACACTCGGAAAGCAGAATTTGACGGACAAAATATTGAACTTTATGCACTTAACAATTGTACAATTACCCAAGAAATCGAATGGTGCGAGCCCCGTCTTATGGTGACTCCTGCAAAACCCCATTCCACCCTATATTCCCCTCAAACTTGAACAAATTGTTACATTATGTGGTTTTATAGATTAGCGCCATTAATATTACACGCACTTGCGCTATAGTTATGTAAAAATGTCCGGAGAAACGAATGATGATGGTCTATTATTGGGTTGAAGTCTCCACCACACCCGAAGGGAGACTCACCTCTTCAATAAGCTGTTTTGGCGTTAAGCTCAATCTGCACCTATCCGCTATCATCCAATCCGATGACGATTTTCTCGCATCGGACAACGTAGTGGACAGATCCCCTGAGGAACTAGCAGCAGCAGTATCTCCAACGGTAGGAGGTGGAGTCTTCTGACTCTAACCGAACAATCGGTCCTTCTCAGGACCATAAATGTTTGCAGAAAGAGTTAAATCGGCGGTATTTAGTGAGACTACAATCATAGAGGTAACTCTAAGACCACTGGGTCCCGAAGAAAATCATTATTATTTTTGGCTCACTCAGTACCAGAACAACGGTCCCAAGCAGTCCCAAGCTATTTCACTCACCCCTGCATGTTCTGCATGAATCCACACACCCCTGATGTTATCTGTCAAACTTTCATAGCGAATCAAAACAAACATAGTGTAGTAATAGAATTTCAACTAGAATAGGGTACGTTAATCGTTTGCTTGGGACCAATAGGCTACTAAAGTGGTGAGCCAATTTAAAATCGTTAGTTTCGTATTGATTGTTGCTACAATATTATTTCTCGGTTGGGTCCCGTTTAAATATTACGTTACGCGGAAAATGTCATTTTTTTTTTAAAACACCTACATTTATTTTAAAACCCCTACATCGAATCCGAACAATTTTCTATTTACTATTTCCATTTATTGCAATATTACTCAGGAGTGTGTCATTAGTTACTATCCCACGTTCTAGAAATACTTCAAGATCAAGAACTCCATTTTGTAAATAAACCTTGTAAGCAGTGTTGGAAAAGTTCGCGATATTTCACGAAGTTCTCGAAGGGAAAAGTTCGCGAGTCATAGTGATTTTTTGCGAACTTTTCCATCACTGCTTGTAAGGTCATTTTATCGTGAACCGAAACCTATATTCACAAATCTAAAACACAATTGGGTAGAGGAGAATCTCCCCTACCTGTTCATTTTGTTGGTTTGCGTTGACGGACTTCGGTTCGCGACAAAATCGCCTTACAAGGTTTGTTTATAAAATGGAGTTGATGCCTTTTCAATTGTTGATCTGTAAGTATTTCTGGAACGTGGGATAGTAACTAATGACACCTTTCTGATTAATATCGCAATAAATGAGTTGAGGCCTGTTCAATTGTTGATCTTGACTTCTTTGAAGTAAAAAAAAGTATCATCTATAAATGACATAGCCATTTTCTCTTTGCATCCCCACGGCCAAGTATAGACACTTCCAGAGATTTTCAACACATAGTTCGATAAAAGCAGCTATTATCTAGCATCTAATGCGGCAAGAAACGGATTTGTAGCCAAGAGAAAGTCGACAGAGAATAGATCAATGTTTTTGAAGGAGCTACACGGAAAATTAATCTCACTCATATAAAAATGCCGTTCACTCAAATCCGCAAAAACGTAGGTCACTAAGTGACCTACGTTTTTGCGGATTTGAGTGAACGGCATTTTTATATGAGTGAGATTAATTTTCTTATAGAATGCGTTAATTTTTGCTCAAACATGAGTAAATGTCTCTCATGTATGAGTAAATGTCACTCATGACTTTTACTCATATTTGATAAAAATTTACTT